TGGCCAGCCTGGTCCTGGACAACGTCAAGGCGGACCGCTTCCTGCTGGACCTGCCACGGCTGACAGCCATGAGCCTCGATTTCGTGGAGGTGGGGGGAGGGGCGGGGGCAAGAGTGTGGCTTGCATTTACGTTTGCAGTTTCGTTTGCATTTGCGTGTTTGCGTGTGTGAGTGTGTGAGAGTGCGCGTGTGCGTGTGGGTGCGTGCGTGTGCGTATGCGTGCGCGTGTGCGTGTGCGTGTGCGTGTGCGTGTGCGTGCGCGTGTGCGCGTGCGTGCGCGTGCGCGCGTGCGCGTGCGCGTGTGCGTGTGCGTGTGCGTGTGCGTGTGCGTGTGCATGTGTTGACAATCCCTCATGAGGGGGGGGTAGAAGAAGGGGTTAGGAGGGCCCTGTTGTTGGACATGAATACTGTTGTAGTATTGGCACCGTCTGCACAAAAGGTGCACAGCACCACAGTCGCACGTGCGCTCTGCCCTCTGTCGAGGCGTTGAGTCCATCCATCCTGCCCGCCCGGCCCCAACCCTCCCCTTGCACCACGAAAGTTCAGGGACGAATCCGCGTTTGCGTCCAGCCTGGCCGCGTGCCCAGCCCTGGAGCGGCTGACCAGCTACAAGCTGTGGTGCATCGAGGGCCCCCACAAACTCAACCTGCCCAGCTGCAAGTGGCTGAACCTGTGAGCGAGTCAAGCCCGGCCAGGGAGAGCGTCAGGGCAGGGGGCCAAGCAGCAGCAGCGCATGGGACCTCCGCGTGGTCCTCGCTCTCTTGGCGGCCTTGCTAACTGCACCCGCACCTGGGCATGCGTGGGTTGCCCGTGTCCCCGCAGCTACCGCGCAGACAGCCTGTTGGGCCTGGGCCTGGACGCGCCAAAACTCGAGCACCTCAACCTCAGGGTGAATCCCAGGGGCCAAGCGAGGCCGCTGTGCACCCACTTTTCGGGACATGTTGTGGTATTGATGACATCATCATTAGGTGCACACCCCGAGCATTGCACCTGCATCACCAGAGCCCCTTGTCTGTCCACCCCCCCTGGATGTGGCCACACCAGACACAACCGCGCACACACACGCGCTCGTGCACTCTCACACTCCTGCTGAAGGCGTGCTTCCTATTGAAGACGGTGGTGCTGCGCCCCGAAGAGGGTCCCCCAGTCTCGGTCAACGTGGTCAACACAAACATCAGCCGGAAGGCATTGGCATACCTCAAAGCACCCCCCCGTGTGCGCAAGGCTGGCGGGGGCATACAGCTGGAGGCCGACGACGACGAGGTGCGGACTTACAGGAGTCGTTTAGCCTGCCCGTCAAACATGATTGAGAAGTATTAACCACGTCCACATTCAGCCACACACTTGGCAGCTATCGTATCCTGCAAGCAGACACCATGATTCACACCTGGTCCATATGGCCGTGCAATCGCAGTGCGGCGCCGTCAGCAACGCCTGCCCACGCCCCTCCCCTGCGCGCCTTGCTGCCTATCCTGCCCCTCTGCACTGACTCATTCTTCACAGGGGTACTACTGACGCCTGCTTTGGCATGGCGAGATGCTGTCAACCAGGCAGGGCCATGACTCCGGCTGGAGGGGCCCGGTGGCGGCGGATTCCTTGAGACCACGATCACGGCCAGGGCTATGACTGCAGCAGCAGAGGCTATGGAGATCATGGTTAGAGCCTCTGCGGCGACGGCCAACTCGCATGACTGTTTGTTGATGTGGCAATGGCACGTGTGTGGCGCCTGGATGTGATGCAATTGTGACTGGTATCGTGTGTGAGTCGGATGAGTGGAAATACTGTTTGCATGTTGCAGTTGTGTTGAGCAGTGTCTTGACGTAAGTTGCAAGTTGGAAGGGTCCAGTAAGTATGAGCAAAGCACACATGCTCACATGCGGTGAGCACTCTTTGAGCCGTGCAAGCAGTCGTCACTGGTGCAGTGCGCCGCCTGTTGCACGACCTGTGAGCCAGTGGCTGCACAAGCCCAGCTTTAGCAACCGTACGCCAGCACCCACATGTGGCCATCAACAAGTGATTGTGCCTTCACAGCAACATATCTAGCAAACAGTTGCAACTGAGGCCTGTGCCTCTCCCGGCTTGACAGCACTTGACTCAATCTACAGCACCTCGCGCCGCAGCCACCCTTGCCTCCCGCGCTTCCACTGCCACAACGCATCGTCCTTTGTAGTATTCGCCGTACAAGATATCTTATTTCAATCTTACACTTTACTACCCACATTATAAGGAGCCGTCGACGTGTGCGCTAGCGAGGCTAGCGGTGCTGCCACGGTCTTGACCGGATACCGATCGCTTGCGCAACAGAAGAGGTCACAATGAGGGTGCTCGCGATCATCCTGCTGGCAGGATTGGTTGCAGGTGCGTAATTGGCCGGCCGCGGAGGACGTGACCCGCCACGGGGTGGTTGGACGCGCAGGCTTTGCCCGATCGACCATGCGCGCAATAAACGCGTGAATTACTTTTCATATCAGGAGTCATCGGGGCATGACGAGCCCTGCAGCCTAGGGATGTCTGCTGCTGGTTGTAGCAGGTCAACAGCGGATGTGTGCGCGACGCACCATGTGGTGCAGCTGCCCCCTGCAGCTGTTGCGAGCAGGGGCATGCCTCCAGCTGCCAGTGTTTGTGACGTTTGCAAATCCTCCATTACCAGCGTCTTTGCACGCTGCCAGGGGCCCCTGCACACTGTGTAGCATCACGCAAAGCGCAGGCGCATGTTGCTGTGGCCCGGCGTCCAACCGGCTAAACCCAGCTCGCCCCTCCCAAAACCTCTCCCCCCTCCCAAACCCAATCCTCAGGCGCGGCCGCGCAAGTGCGCGCCAACGACTTCAACTTCTTCCCAAGCGGTAGGTGTGGTGTGGTTGGCTGGCCGTAATCAAACAGGCACCCCGGCATCCCCCATCCTGCTCACACCGTGCACTCGTTGTAACAAGCCCCACTGCAAGTGCTAGGCCCTCTCGAACCGGAGAGCCCCTCGAGCGACCTCCCCGCCAAACCAGTCAACCGCGCCCCCCAGGAAAAACCCTGCCCACCCCCCACCCCCTCCGCGCCGCGCCCCGCAGCCGCGGCGGCCAACTGCACCCAGGGCGACTGCGCGTTCCCGGCCGCGTGGTGGCGGCGCAACCAGACCGAGTACAAGGCCCTGGGCAACGCCAACGGCGCCGGGCTGCTCAAGATCGCGGTCAGCGATTATTTCCCAGAGGGCCCCACCCTGTACGTCGTGCCAGGCGCCTGGTGCGACACCTCGGGCGCGCTCGCCAACGCGTCCACCAGCGGCCTGCGCCCGCGCGCGTCGCGGCGGCGCTTCCTGCGTTTCCTGATGGCGGACGAGGCCAAGGCGTGGCAGCCGCCCAGCGTGACGGTCAACGGCGGCATGACCTGCACCATCCTGGGGGAGGACGCCGTCAGCTACAAGGTCGGCGGCGGCGCGGCGCAGGCGGCGGAGCGCGTGAACAACGGCGCCTACAAGATCCCGCTGCCCAACAACATGGCCGACGTGAGCGTCGCAACCCTGCGCCGGGGTTGTTGGTGGAAGGGTTGCCGCCGGGGTTCCGACAGGCCCCTACTTGGGTGGTTGCCGCGGCTGTGTTGCGCTGTGGCATGCAGCATGACAGTGCGGCAGAGGCTTGACGCATGGCTGGTGCCAGAACGTTGGTTGATGGCGCCAGGGAGTTGATTTGGTGTTGCATTCTTGCCCTACGTCACGCACCCTCACCCTCACCACGCCTGCCCCCCCCTTTCCCCCGTTCCTCTTGCGTCCCGCCCTGCAGGGTGAGACCTGTGTGGAGGTGATGGCGGTCTACAACACGAGCCGTGTGGCCACCAGCCCGCGCTACGACCAGTGGTACGAGCCCCTGGGTGAGGACACCACCACCTTCAGCCGCAAGTTCTGCCTCTACAAGCTCACAAAGCAGGCCGACGCGACCCTCAAGTTCGACATGTGCACCTCCAACAAGTGTGAGTACCCTGGGCATGGGTGGGGTGGTGGTGGCCGCCCCCGTGATGATGGGGCTTGCATGGGAGAAGGTCGGCGTGGCCTGTGCTATTGGCGGCTGGCACGGCATAGGAGGCACCATGGGCTGGCCATGTGGCACGCAATACAAC